TGCCTATGTTAAGTTTGAACAGTTTTTGAAATATAATGCCTATGTGCCATCCGTCCTATGCATTTGCAGGTGTCACGAAACTATTTATATTGTCAACGATAAAACTGTGTTTGTGAAAACATTGTTTCTCAACGTGAAACAAATTGTCAGTTTTTCAGATCGGACGAAAAAGATGTCTTTAGCTCACGTCGTTGTGCTTATGGCTTTAGTTGACACTGGTGGTGCTGGTTGCAGCAGAACAAACTGGGCGGAAACGATTAAAAAACAGGGAACTTCAATGTGTAATAACCAAAATGATTTTATCTCTGGCTTTTATCGAGCTGCTTTCACAGGTGATGAAAAGGACAGTATAGAATTAATAGACGGAGTTGAATGTTGTTCGAGAAATTCACCATGGGACACATCTAGAACACAAACAATGACAGCTGATTGGTGGTACTCGTTTGATAAAGTAAATACTTGGTCAACCTGTCCTCCTGGTTATTTCTTAAACGGTATTTACAGAACGAGAGACGCTGACCGTGGCTTTCTGCATAACATAGAAGAGGGACGTTGTTCTAAACCAGCGGACCACCCACCATACTACCATGACTGCAATGACCACAACGTTGAGACATGTTTTAATGGCATAGGTTTGTGTAAATGTAATGATGGTTACTATGTCACTGGTTTGTACAAGGGGAACTGTAATCGACTTTTTTGTATAGAGACTTTGCGATGTTGCAAGCCGGCGTCAGCACCAGAAGTACTCGACGAACTCAACAAGGTGAAGACACGCATCATGGACACTACAATGCACGACATATCAAATTTGGCGAATCATCTCGGTTATGGTTGGTGCGGAGGTTGTAGAGGCGAGAATGTTGGCGAGGATTTTGTAAGAAACGGCGACACATGGCTCTCTAGTACAAACCAACCGTGCGATGGGTATATGCATGAACAACGTCTCAACCTAGCCTATGGAGACTGGAGTTTTGGTATAAAAGACATCAAATATGGAACACCTTTAATTGAAGATTTGGCGGCTGAAACGATAGACTCAGGAGTTATTTATAACAGAGACCCGACAAGTACAACCAAGACTATCACACGAACTGAAAGCATTGCGCGTAGTATCACACATACGACAACCAGCGCTTGGAGAAACAGCCAGGAATTAAATTTCAAAATATCCTACACACCGCCTGGCGGACCTACTATTTCTACCGGGTTCAAGTTTGGATTTGAAACAAGTTCATCGCAGACAGATGAAAACAAAGATGAACAGACGAAATCCTTTACAGTCACTAGTGTAAAAACCATACAACCGAATTCTGCAGCTAAATGGCGTCTTGTTGTGGCCAAAACTAAAAGTTCAGTTAACTATACTGCGACAATTATAGTTAAGTTCTCCACTGAGCTTCAAGGTTTTCTACGTTGGAGTGGGGGCATTGGTCATGCTGATACCAATTACCATTATAAGCATCGTGGAAGTGGAGATCGTCCTACTTTTAACTACAGATTTGGCGACTCTAAGGTCCCCTTCTACACAGCACTGAAGAGAGAGAGCGATACCAACTCACACCCTTGGTTGTGGACCAATTTGAAAAGTGCATATCCAGGCTTGCAACAGGTAATCAACGATCTGTGCGATGAAAACAGATACGTTTTTAAGCTAACCGGAAAGTTTGAAGATGTATCGGGAAAAAACGTCGACTTTCATTGGGATACCGTACCGACAAAAAAGCGATCAGTAGACTCTCGTGCTAATGCACAGGATAAAATTTTACATGCTTCCACACAATTTCCCAAGACTGCACCTAACGATGTTGGTCCTAAGAATCTAACTGACATTTTACAGAACTCCACACAAGTGGCCAAGACTGCGCATAACGATGTTGGTCCTACAAAGCTAACGGATCATATTTTACAGAACTCCACACAAGTGCAAAAGACTGCGCCTAACGATGCTCCTCGAGTGAATCTTTGATCCTTCGTAATCGAACATCGAGGTGACGTCCAAGCTGCGTAAACTCTTGAAGATGTTTCAAAATAAAACATACATATGCAGGCTCTTAATGTTTTATGTGGTTGTTTTAATCTATACTTGTTTTATTCTTTACTTTGTGTACAATAATATTCTGGTTTTTCTGTCGAATCCCGTGCAACTTCAAAACGTCCCCGTCATAACAACCCCGTCAAAACGACTACGTCAAAAGTGCAAGCGTCGAATTGACCACGTCATATAGGCTCCCGATAAAAGGGATTCAGTCAAAAAAAATAAGTGAAAGTAAAAGTAAAGTTCCCTTTTTACACGTGACGGTCTATAGGGCAAGTGAAGTAGAGTTCATTTGTTTTTGTGACCTCGGCATATGAAGAAATAGTGTGGTAAGCACTATGTCCAGTCAACTTTACTTTCCCTAACGTGAGTTAGGTACCCATCAAAGTTGGGAGGAATCAAGGACGGTTTACTGACTAAAACCCGGATTCGAACAGAAATCGGGACCTACACAAAGAACTTTCTATTTTTGTACACGATTGTCAGAAAAAACATACATACAAACAACAAATGAATTAAACCAAACAAATAAACAAATAAACAAATATAAAATTAATTAAAATTTTAAAATTTTAAAAATTTAAATTTAAATTTAAAAAATTTAAATTTAAAAAATTAAAATCAAATTAATTAAAATTATAAACAAACAAAAAATAAACAAAGTAATTAAATTAAAATTAAAAATTAAAATAAAATTAATTAAAATTACACTAATAATCAAATTACGTAACTAAATAATAAAAATTACAAAATTATAAACAAAATAAATAAAAAAATCAAACTAATTAAAAACTCATTAAAAAATAATTAAATTAAAATTATAAATAACAAACAAACTCATTAAATTAAAAAAAAGGGTGATTACGTAACTATGTCACCTGCAGTGATTACGTCACAAGGTCACCGGTGGTGACCTACTGAACTACTACACATCCCCCTGCGCCTGCGCCACCTCCCATCCCCATCCCCATCCCCAGTATTTTACTATATCTCATTGTCCCTGCACACTGCGCCACTCCACCTTCACCCTGCGCCACTCCCCTCCTAGTATTTTACTATATCTCGTTGTCCTTGCGGCTCACCTTCCCCCTGCGCCACCCCCTTCACACTGCGAGTAGTTTACTATATCTCGTTGTCCCTGCGCGCTGCGCCACCCTGCGCCGGCGCCATACTACCCAAAAGGGACCTAATATACTACTGCTAAGTTATGATTATCGTTCATAGCGTTTAGTTCTTTTGTGTAAAAATTTTAGGTAACGTTATTCTTACTATATGCAAATGATTTTTCGTACTATGCATACTGTTTTGCCTTGCAAAAATAATGCACTCTATTAAACAAAAATACAATTCATCGAAATCTGTATTTGAAACAGTTATTGTTGCCAAAGCTAGACATTCTGTAACAACAAATCCTAGTGTGCCCCCTGTGGCCTCGAAATGCCACGTTTCTATACTTAATTCCAACCAAGCTAATCTTTACAATATTTTTTCGATAATCTCTTTACTGGTATACCCTTACATTGTTTTTTAATTAACCTTATTTTAATCCAAAACCTGGGTAAAAACAAATCAACGGTGAATAACTAAAGTTGCCGCGAAATTGTATTTTTAACGCGAAGCTTAATTTAATGCAAAGTATTATGTTACACGAAAAATTCACTATATTTATCAGCTTTGAAATACAATTCAACCATGGGATTATTGCCCGCTATGTGATACATATTATCTAAGAAATACCTCTATATTTTTTTTTTGCATGAATGCGGGTGACTTATAAAATCTGTATTCTATAAGCCACTTAAAACTTTATCTAATCATAGGATTGCCATTAGCTGGATGAATAGAATAACAGCTTAACACATTTTTTGAAATAGACTTATAAAGCTTTTCTCTGCAAAACCCTACTTGCATTAAAGGCTTTATGCATCAATACAGTTTCGTGATAAATATGTTACACGCATTATATAGATGTATATATTTTATGGCATTAGGTTTGCTGATCCCGCGACTACATGGGAAGAACGTATCGTGTTTCAATACGAGAACTTGATAAAAGCTCAACATGGTCTAAAGGCCGAGAGGGTCAAATGACGATCAGCCTGAATCTCGATCAATAAATTACAAAATATTCGAAAGGCCTACCTCCAAACTACCGAATAGCACTAAGGCCGACCACCCAACTATCAACTAGCTTTAAGGACGATCACTAAACTTAAAAATTAATATTTAATAATTTATTTTATATGAAAACTTTTTTATACACGATTGGGAAAGAAATCCACTTACAAAATCAATAGTCTACTAACGTCTTCTGTCTTATTTCAAATGTTGTTATTAGTTCTAGTTTGCAAAGTCAGACTAAATTTCTCACCACCCATGCCCCACTTCTCACTCATGATCCAACAAATTGAACTTCAACAAAACGACCCAGTCTTAATAGCCCTGTCCAAAAGTCTTGACATATAGTAACCCGACAAAATGGGCTCTCGATAAATGGGCTCCCGAAATATGGACGCACGACATACTTGCTCCAGAAAATGAGCTACCGACATATTGGCCCCGGAAAAATGGGCTCACGACATATTGGCTACCGACAAATGGCTCATGACTTTAGAGATAAACTACCGAGTGACCTCCAAGTCGAACACCAAATTACTAAATAGGCATATCATCCGATATTAAAAAAAAACTGATATAAAAAAACTTAACTTGCATGCCATTGGTATTTATATTCCTATTATTTTTTATAGTCATGTAGAAAAACAACCTACTCAAAGTAGATTACATTAAATTAAGTATTTTGTTTAGACATAATACAAACACTCAGAAATTACTAAAACATCGTAGAATTAATAGGGTCTATGATCACACTGAATGCATTTTTATGTAAATATGTATGGTTTGTTTTATGTTTTAGTTTGTTTATTGTACATCTTGTTCATTTATATTGTTGTTCAATCTCTTAAAACTGCTGAGTCTACTTTAGTCTAAACTTTTCATTTTAACTGTTTACGCTTGCAGATACTAACTGGGGATATAATCATCACAGTTTTAAAAAAAAAACCTATATTAGCTAGGTCAGACCTGCCTTAGAATATGGTGCCTCAGCTCCAGGCTCAGCCGCTAAAACAAATATTAGCAAAATCGACAAAGTCCCGAACATTGGATTGAGAATAAAAACAGGAGCTATGGAAACAACACTGATAAAAGCAGCGGAGGAATTGGATGTTCTAAGTTCAATGGAAGAAAGAAGAGAATAAAAAATCCTCACCAAATACACAAAGCTGAAGGCACTAGATACCCATAATCTAAAGCAGGAGCACTAGAAGCCAAGCTCTTAAAACAGACTCCAAATGTCACGTTTTATCAGAGAAGCCAAAAGTCTAAAAACGAAATATAAAACAGAAAAATCATTCCTGAAACAATTAAAACACAAAAACACTCCCCACTGTGGATCTCTTACCGTGTACTAGTCATCAGAAACTCAACAGATACCATAGAAAAAAATCTGACTACGATCATGCAGAATTAAATAAAATTACATACAAGCACAGTTGCAGTACCCAAGTACTATTAGATTAGAGTATTTACAGATGGTTCAGCTGAAGATGCCACAAAAAATGTCAAGGAGTCCTTAGTGAATGGCCAAACGGAGAAAGTTTAGAAAAGTCCATAGCCTCAGGCAAATTATCTGGCAATTTTAGATCAGAGAAAGAAGCTTCATAACATGAAGTAAACATCCTGTCATATAGCTCTGTATCCCCAAAAAGACGGATAGTTTTTCTCACAGATACAAAACTGTCCTGCATTCTCTAAAAAATCTAGAATCCTATACTCAATCACTCAGGACAGCCCTTAAAATACTAGACGATATATACAGTACGAACCGACCCGCGGCGTATCATATGCCGCTATTTAGTTGTTTTATTTTCTACTTTTCAGTAATTCATAATTTGGGAATTCGACAGTACCAATGCTGCCACTGAAAATAGTTGCTTTAAAACACTATCCTTAGGTCGCTAAGGAAGATCCCTTCCCCCCTCCTTCACCTCCCCCCACCCCCGTGAATTTTCCAGCAACTATAGAGATCTATTTAGCTTAGACAATCTTATTTTCTCATGTGTGTACACCTCTGACGCTGGATGTAGGAAATCTAACTGGGCGGAAAAACGTGCTACCTGGGGAAATTCTAAAACACAAACAATGACTGCTGATTTGTGTTACTTGTTTGATAAATTAAATTACTGGTCTTTCTTTCCTTACAGTTATTTCCTTAACGGTATTGTACATAACGAAAGTAGCTGACCGTTGCGATTCACATAACATAGAAGAGTGACGGTGTTCAAAGCCATCTGATAGTCCAGCATATTGTGTGGCGCTGCTAGGACCATGGTATCTCAAAATGTTTTGATAAAAACGGTTTGTGTAAATTTAATTACGATTATTATGTCAATGGTTTGTACATGGAAAGCTGTATAGAGTATAGTGGCTGTGGCTCCCGGTCAAAAACCCCCCGACATAAACCCCCTTAACAAAAAACCCCCGCGACATAAACCCACCTGGACATAAACCCCCCGTGACATTAACCCCCCGGATAATAACCCCCGGACTAAGGTTTATATAAAGAAATAATAACGATAATGTGAAACAAAAAATAAATAATAAATTACAATTAATTAATTTAATTTTTTACGACAAAGAAAATAGTTTCTACCTAAAAAGTGCTATTCGAAATCAAGGAGGAGTGACCGTAGCAGAGGCGTAGCGAGGGGGGGGGGGCGGGGGTGCGGATCGCATCGGGTGACACCATTTAGGGAGTTAAAACATAGTTAAAAATAGCAAAATATATAGAGAAAAACTTGAGGGGGGGGGGGGTGCAAATCCAAAGTTTGAGGGGGGGGGGGGGATGGGTGCAAATCGAAAACTTGGGGGGGGGGATGCAAATCGAAAATTTGAGAGGGGAGGGGTTGCATATCGAAAATTTGAAAGTTTGTCCCCGGGAAGGGTC